CACACACACACACACACACACACACGCACATACACTAACACATTAGAAACTCACCTGACCTATCTCGTACATCCGTAGTGTTCCCTCTTTGTAGGACTCATGGGGTCGTTCTGACATGATTCGCAAAGACGATAATCTGAACAATTTGAACTTGTTTTAACAACGAATATGTACAGGTAGACTTTTGCTGAATACTTTGTTTTGTTTTGTTTTGTTTTCCTGTCTGTTGTCCTTTAATTAATCTTTGGGATCAAAGGTACATAATATTTTACCATTTGACAGCCGACCACTGAAAGGAAAGGAATAATATATGCAATATATAAATAAACCCAGGGATAATCTTCGAGTAGTTGTTGGTTGTTACAGGGTGTCACTAATTTAAAAATATTGGTCTCATATCTTTACCACCACTTTTTGTTTTTGTTTCGGTCTATATGACTGTATTCATATGTCTGGAACTTTGCAGGTAGCAGTTAGTTTAGTATAGTATAGTATAAGGTTTTACGGCGCTCGCAACTGCTAAGGTCATTTAAAAGCAAATTCTCTGCAAAATTTCTTCACCTGTCAGCTCCGTATGATTGTAGGTAGTGAACAGGTTATGTATTTCTTGCTCCGCGGCCATGATGCATCGACGAGTTCTCCTCATAGTTTTTTGTATTGTTTATTTCTGCACTGGTCCCTTACTCATTATTTTTGCCCCATGTGTTCTAGGGCGCGGGGGGGGGGGGCATATAATATATCATGCTTTGTGTGTGTAAAAAAATGTGTATGTTTAGTATAATATTAGTCTTGGAAAAGAATGGAAAAACCCTCCACTCCATGGGGATTTGTCAAAGCTCTAGTTATCGAAATCGAGGTGAAATCAAAGATTGTTCATAACAAGATAGTTCACTCTGCTAAAAAAAGTGTCCGCGGAAGTCCGCACATTGGTTCAGATGGCGCTGCAGTCTTTGCTCTCTTTCGTTTCTCTAGAAGAAGAATAGGAATAGCACAGCTTGTTAGTTTCGCTTTTATTGTTTTTCATACAAGTTGGGTAACTCTGTTCGCAAAGTGGTCAGCACTCTTTCGAAGAGAGTGCCACCAGATATTGAAGACACTTTTTTGATTGGCTCAATCTTGGAGGGTGCTATCTTGTTATGTACGATCTTTGATGAAATAAAACGCACCTCATCTAGCTGTATTCGATTACACTAGATGATGTTGTTAAAGTCGCTCTTCCCCGATTCTATTTCTTTCTTTATACATTATTTGTCAAATTTCTACTTTTCCTTTAGTTTGCGTTGCTGGTAACCGTGGTCGAATCTCGCCAACGCAAAAAAGCAAGAAAAACACAAACAGGATCCCTGTCTTCTTTCTCGCATGTTGTGTTCCATTCGTCCTGACTGGCTCTTGTAAATCATTGTGTCGATTTTGTTTTGTTTTGTTTTGTTTCGTTTTGTTTGTTGGGGAGGGGATTACACCTTGTTAAATAAACCTCCTGGCATTTCTGCCACGTCTTCTCCAATATTTTCTGGAGTGGCTTCACGTTTTTGCGTCATGACAAGGCGAGAAAGAGGTAATGTAATTCGTTCTAATGAAGACTGATCATTTTGCTGCACGTGTCAACTTGTCCTTTTCGCTCTAAACAATAGAAAGATATTTGTTCGATATTTATACTGTTTGTTCTTAGGACACGCGACATTGAGTTCGTAAGGGTTAATGTATTAATAAGGTACAGAGAGGTTGAAAGAGAGGGAGAGAGAGAGATATATAGATAGATAGATAAATAGATAGAGAGAGAGAGAGAGAGAGAGAAAGAGAGAATGAGAGGATGGAGGGAAGAAGAGGGAAGAAGAGGGAAGAAGAGGGGCAGTGAGATAAAGACACAGACAAAGAAAAAAGGACACTAAGTGAATGTGTTTTTGTGTTTTTGTGTGAGAAAGAGAGAATGAGAGAAAGAGAGAAGGAGAGATAGAGAGATGGAGAGAGAAAGAGAGAGAGTGAGAGAGAGAGAGAGAGAGAGAGACAGAGATATTGGGGGAAAGAGGGAGGATAGAGGGAGAGAGCAAAGAGAATAAACGAATACGTAAGACAGCAAAGCTGAGAGTATTTAGAATTTCTCACGTGAAAAAAAAAACGTGAAAAAGCAAAAGACTAGATCTATTTTGTTTTGCACAATAAAATAGTAGTTCCTTTTCTATTGCCAGTAAATTATACATTATTATATAAAAAGTATCTCTGGTGGCACCAGCCTTTTCGTCTTTTTAGAAGAACCAACACACTCCAGGCCTCAAGATTAAAACGAAAATTGCATTCCTAATTTCTAAGAACATGACATAATTTTAATAATTTTGAGCCTAAGAATTTAAAGAATAGTAGGTATCCATTGCATTTATCGTCTTAAAATACTCCAGGATTTAATCACTGCTCTTTAATTCCATTTTTTTTTATGTGAGCGTCCTTTTTTCATTGTAAGTTCAGAACAGCCCGCACTAAAGAAAACAGATATTCCCCAAAACAGTTTGTCATGGCTGAAAGGTTGGTGAACTTAGGCTTGCAGACATGTCAAATGTGTCGGCAACTCAGTGTCTTTGTTGGTGGTCACTGGGATGTCCTTGAGCAACAGGCGATAACCGGTGTGTGTGTGTGTGTGTGTGTGTGTGTGTGTGTGTGTGTGTGTGTGTGTATGATACCGCGCTTTACATGCATGCATTCGTGTATTAATGCATGTATTGTGCTTTTATGCACACCATTGTCAAATAAACATGTTTCCCCACAAGGGATCAACAAAGAAAAATTTATTATTATTTTCATTTTCATTTCTTTATTTTTTAAAAAGTAAATAACGTGACAGCACGTCTTTCGTCAATAAGTCGCAACTAAAGTGGTTGTCGAAAGCAGAACATGATAGTCTAAGCTCGAAGCTTTAGGTTATCGTGTTAAAGTTTAAGTTAAAGGCACGGGTGCTGCTAATTCTGGTGTATACGTCTAGCATAGGATGTGTCCAGTACTCCAGCGTTGACTTACGCCAGCATTATCACCAATTCCGCACAGGTGACCGACTGACCCTTGGAGGTGACGTCAGCGCGAACTTTTACACCTCCAGATATTTTGACCGGAAGCTTAGCTTTGATTTTAAACTGGAAAGGAGGAACGGTCCAGTTGCCCTGTGAAAGAGAAAGAGAACGGTTGTGATTTGTTCATGATTTTTTTCCCTTGAGTTGTGTTTTTGTTTGTTGCAGCTCTTGCTACTACAGATGCTGCTGCTGCTGCTGCTGCTGATGATGATGATGGTGATGATGATGATGATAATACTAACGCTGCTGCTATTGTGGCTAATGCTGCTGCTACTGTTGCTGCTGCTGCTGCTGCTTTTGCTGCTGCT